TATTGTATATATTATATATGTATAAATTGATTATAAGTTATGCATATACAAAGAATTTAATTCATACTGTTTATTATTATAAAAATCTTATATTATTTTTTGTAAAAATTAAATTCGATCAAAATATTTCATATATGTTCATGTATGTCTTTCATATATGCTTTTGTATTAATAAGTTGTGCTGGAAAAATAGTAGATTTCGCAAACATGATGCATTCCTTCTTTGCAAATTGTATTTAATACTACACAATTTATATATAAATATATATATATATATTTTTTTTTTTGTTTAAAATCAATAGATATTACCAAATCGAACATAAGAAAAAAATCACACTTTTTTTTATTATACTGCATGATAAAGGCTCCAAAACAAAACAACAAACCGTCATATCCTTTAGTGTATTTTCTCAAGTTCGTCTATACATTATTTATAAAATAGTAAATCGGCTTGATCTGCAAAAGATTAATGTTTCACGTACGCGGACGTCATTTTTTTATCCTTTACAAGCACATAACGCTAAGTTATAGAAGCAAAGACAATATATATTGAATTTATAAATAACAAATCATATAAGAGTTAAATGGCAGTAAGTCTGGACCTTACAAAAGTGTCCAACCGGTGCCAATAAAAACTGTAAAAGATACAAAAGAGTTAACAGTGCGATTCCGTCTTATTACGCGCGCTGTTGCTCTTTTTTTCTTTTTTAATCTCTTCAACAAAGTTAGAATCGTGCAAATTTGTTTCGTCGTTTATTCTATTTATGGATTATGAATACGGAATGTTCATCATAAAATATCAAAGGATGTTACACATATACAGTTCCACATGTAAAGACCATATTATTATTATTTTATATAATATGGAGGAGGGGAGGGGAGCTGGAAGGAACCCAATTTTAATATTTAAAAAATTGCGAGATTTTTTACGCATTGTAAAAAGCAGTATATACTTAATGTCAGCGGGAATCCTCGGTATGACTTTCTTGGAAATTCAGCCAAGATTGTTCAACTACAGTAGCCACTCTTTTCTCATATTCCCGTTTGTTTTCTTGATACAATTGCGCCGCTAAAGAATTGGCTGGCGAATTAGGATTTGGTTCGTCCAAAAGCGACTGTAACATAAATAATTAAAAAATTTGCTCAGCAAATTATTTCAAATATACTTTGATCCGTAACAAAGAAGTCGGAAATATACAAAAATACAAGCAGGATAGAGAGATAGGTTGTGGAGAGAATAACGAATACCAGGCTACAATTATACCAAGTTATAAAGAGAAATTATGCATTTATTACTTTATTATATATATCTATATATAAATGAATTTGTGTGTATGTGTACATACTGAAATATATATCAAAGTACACTAAATTCAATAAAAGTTAATATAATTCTGCGCCGCTCAAAAAATAAAATAAAAATAAAAATAAACGACAAGAAAATAAAAGCCAAATATTTTTTTTTATTCTAGGTTTTAATAACTAATTTCGTGTATCATCAGATATTCGCAATAAATAAATACACAATTTTATAATAGTTTATTATTCAACATTGTAAAAATTCGGTCTAACGTTGCACATTGTCGTGGTAGTTCGATAAAGCTCTCAGGAAGAAATATGCCAGATCTGTATTTTTCTTTTTTTTTTTAGCATTAGCTCCCTGTAGTACAAAGCTACATATTCTTCTTCCTTGTATTTGATGGTTGTTGATGGCTGATTGATACTGTTACAGCAGCATTATGTTAACGTCCATAACTAATCCACAAAACTCTGTTCCACGCAAGCCTTCACTCGCTTCTCGTACTCGCGTCGATTCTCTTTGTACAGTTGCGCTGCCATTGAGTTGGCAGGTGAATTCGGGTTCGGGTCACTTAACAGCGACTGCAATCACATAAGTCGTATCTTGTTATATTTGGAAGAATAGTTTTATTATTCTTCTAACAAAAGTTTGCGTGGTAAATAAATCTGACACGACAATCTGCTCTTTTATTTTTTCTTCTTCTTCTTTTTTCCGTCTGATTAATTGATACGCAACAGCCAAAAATGCATATCGACAGACAATTAAGGATAGAATTACCCTAGGTAGCAAATACACCTCATTTGACATCAAATGACGCATGCATTTGCTACTTGGGATATAACATAATATGTGGAATTATTAAAGTGTTATGCACAAATAATTTTTAATTGGAATCATGTGATTAGACTTTGCTGAATTGCAACCGCTGTTAAGATAAAACGAATGATCCCTTCACAAACATATTTATCATATAACTAGCAACATAAAAAAGTTTAAGAAGCAATGTGTCAATATATAAATAAAAGATTTTGAGAAAATTGCACATAATAGAAATATAAGAATGTCACAAATTTTAAAATGTAAACAAAAACATTTAATATGAGATTTAGAAAATAAAATTATGTTTTATTTTGCTATGGTTATGAATACTTATTAAAAGCCATGCAAAATATGTATTTGGCTATCACACAATTCGTGAACAGAAATATATATCTTTCTCTCAGGATGTATTATTATTAATTATAAAAACCAACTTATGTTCTATGAAATAATATTAAATTATAATTTTGATTATATGTGTTTCATGACATACTTAATAAAATAAATAATAACATATTAAAATAATACAATTGAGAGCATTAATGGTGTCTAGTACACTTGGTATGCTTACACTCAATGGTAAAACTCTGTAATATTCAAAAAGAGAAACATATCTTTTTGTTTACATAAATCAAATATATAATAATTAAATATCAACATAGATTAGCATAAATCAACTACTTTGGTTTATGAAAAAATAGAAAAAAGAGTGAGTGAAATCATGAAGTTTATAAATATGAGCACATTAAACGAAGAAGCACTAATGCTTCTGATTGTATACTTTAATATCTTTTTCTGTTATCTTAACATACAATATATCCATTTATTGTACTGAAATAATAAAAGATTTATATCATGCTATAAGCAAAAAGAAAAACTTATCTTATATAGAAAAATGTCAAAAACATTACCATTCCATGTGCAATATACAGGATAAATTAGAAAACGTAGCACAACTAAAAAGCAGATTGTGCAAAAATAAATCGAAAATGTAGGATACAATTTTTTTCTCATATGAGAAAATTGACTTTGAAATTTTAAAAATTTATACTTAATTTTAATGATTTTGTTTGTCATATATTATTAAAATTATCTTGATATCAACTATTGATGCATAAGTATAAAAGTACATTTATGGTACATTTACTTAACAAACATTTAAAAAAAACATTTCATTTAAAAATAATTAAATACAAGTTAAAAAAGCTAAAAAAATTATTCATAACGTATCAAAATAAAGCTGATCTTGACTTATTTTTGCACGATCACTTTCTTTTTAATTGTTTCCCAGCCTATCTTGTATATATTTATAAAATGTTAATTTATTAAATGTTATAGGGGATGATTTGTAAAGTTGAGTTTCTGGCTGATTACTTAAAATACTATAAAAAATAAGAATGCTGAAATATCTTACAATTAAAAAGATAAGATGACGCACCTGTATAGATGTCAAGATGGCTGAGACATCATAAGTAGGGCTCCAGCGATTTTGAAGTATATCGAGACAAATTCCACCATCTGCATATACATTAGGATGAAACATCTTACTAACAAATCTCACTGTAGGTGGCTTGTTTGGATATTCTTCCGTAAATTCTATTGTAAGTTTAAATGTACCATCTTCAAATGGAGTGTCGTGTGGTCTTAAAACAAATGTAAACATTGTTAAATCTTATCTGAAACTTAAACCAAATGTTATATCTTTAATGATTACATACATTTTATAAAATAAAGAGAATGTCAAACAAAATTTTTTCTCTATCGGATATATATTTTCCACTCAAGATAATGTTATTTGGCTTGTAAAAACAAAATATAAATTTTGTCAAAGAGCAAACGCATTGCGCAGTCTTACCCAAATATAACTGCATTCCATATCATAATATTATTGTCTGTTGGAGCACCTGATACTCCAGTTGGAGGATCTTCCTGTAATCTTTTCAAAAAATTTGTATTACAATTTTGTATTACAAATGGTACACATACAATGTACATATTCCTATCAAACGACGCGGTAGCGTCGCAACGCCAAGTACATAATAAAAATTTCTTAAGTATTAAAAATCTTTTTCTTCTTACAAATACATTAAAGTAATTAATAGAAGTAGAATAGTAATAGAATTATTTGTTTCTTACATAATAATATTAAATTTTATAATGGAGTGACACATACACAATAAAGTATGATAATAAATTATTATGATAATGAATAATCAATATATTGATACTTTATTATTCATTATCATAATAATTTATTATCATACTTCATTGTGTGTGTGTGTGCTCATCTATTCATTATAAAATCTAGTAGATTATGTAAAAAACAAATAATTTAACTAATGTATTTGTGAATGGAAAAATTTCTTAATATTTTCATTACAATTTGTTTTTATCAAATTTTATAAAATAAGATTTATATATATTCCCAAGTCTAAGTATTATGATGAAAATAGTTATGATCCAGAAATGTCTCGTCTAATATTATGTACAAGAATAAATATGTGAATCATTATTAAGTTTAAATACAGTATCATATGAAGATTCATAGAGACTGTTTTACAAATGATCAACCATATCGAACAAGAACAATCTGTTTATTAAGACAGATAATAAAAAAGACTGTCAGAGAGCGAATGTGAGACAGATGCAAGCACGTTTTTAATAATAAATCCAACTTGTATGCGTACAAGTAAAGATGAGATGAATAGAATTTGATGCACTAGGAGCAACTGTTTACAATATAGCTTGATGCTGAGATAATATACATTAATAGTCATAATATCAAGTACCTCTTGAAATCCCTCATTAATCTCCTCCTTGCTGGGGTGGACATTCCTTGATGAACCGGCTTCCCGGTTAACTTTTGTGTCCAAACGATGACACTGATGGATGATCACACAAGAGGCTCTTTCTCACTTTTTTGGTATATGTAGGTATGCGTGAGCCCTTTTCTAATAAAATGGTGATGATGACGATGACGACGATGATGATGATAACGAGGAGGAGGAGAAAGAGAAGGAGGAAGATGACGACGAGGATAACGACGACGACAGTTTTCCTCTTCTACACTTGGTGTATATCGTCTGTCAGGAAGATAAGCTCGCAGAAGGAATCACAGTACGTCTTTACATATATATGTATCTACGTCGCGCGTATGCACTTTCCCTTTTCTCCAACACGCGTGCGTATGCACGCACCCACGACACGATGAGGGTTATTTCTTATGAGAACCCAGATTTGCGATGATTACAACAAAGAGAGGTAGAATTAATGGTAACGCAAAGAGCGAAAGAGGAGGAAAAAAAGAGAGAGAGAGAAAGTCCGTTGTTTGCGTCGTCCTTTGCCTTTTGTCGCGCCTGTGAAGGTCGCCTTATTCGAGGACGAATTCGATCCCACCCTGACTATAGGATGGCTACGATGACGATCACTCTGTGCTCTCCGACTTCGACCAACTTGGATCGAGATGTGTGTATGTGTGTGAGTGTGTGTGTATGTATGTACTTGTCAAGCGCAGAGTCGGAACTCGCGTTTTTTAATTATGGAGAGGAGCCTCCAACAAGACCTTCACGTTTGCCTGTGCGATAGCTTTCGAAGCAAAATTTTCGCTGACTGCTGCCAAACGGTCACTCTCGACAGCTGGGCAGCGGACAGTACGGTGGGGGATACGAAATAAATATACCGTCTCAATGTGTGACGTCACCACGAGTGACGCGTAGCCAATCAATCTTCTGCTACTTCAGAAATAATAGATACACGCGGGTTACATACACGATTGGCCATGGTGTAAATAGAATTCTTGGCTGTTTTCCAAAGTGTCACACGATTGGCTGTCAGATAGAACAATTTTCGGAACTTAAGGGTCGGCAGGAGAGACTACAAAGACCTCTGTTGCCCAATTGTAAATTCTGGATTTTATTTTCTCATATTACGATCAAAATACAAAAAAAATTATATTATAATTGCAATATTCATAATTAATAGGATTATAAGTTTTTCTAAACAGCAATTTTTGGGGGAAAAAAGAATAAAAAATAAGATTTTATGAGTGACAAACAAGGGTTGTAGCAACAGGAAGAGGTCATTTGAATACACCCACTCATATCGACCGGTGTCTAGGGTAACCAATACGATTGACCAATCAAAGAGCTTCATTTTCAACTAGCCAATAAGCATTTTGTCCAATTGATATACATCTGTAGCAACACTGGATTTGTTACGAGCTTTTATACTGATAAACTCTTGTGTATAAAAATATAATTAACAAAGAAAAATCAATTAAATTTAGCAATAAAACATGAGTTTTACGACAGAAGTGACAAATAACGATGCGTATTATGACACAAAAAGTTTTTATATCGGTCTAGGACTAGCGATTAGTTCTAGTGGATTTATAGGTTAGTGATTTAATAAATTCGTTTACAAAGAAAAAATATTAAATGTAAATATTTGATTTGTCAATATTAATTAAATTATTTTTATAGAAAAATTTAATAAAATTATATTAAGGAAATAGGAATTATATTAAATATATTAAGGATATAGAAATTATATTAAATATACTAAGGAGAAACAATAGCAGATAGAAATGAATTGTGTTTTATCTTAATTTAATTTTATTTGTTTATCTATTACTTAGGTGCCAGTTTTATCATTAAGAAAATAGCTTTAATCCGACTTCAGAGATATGGTGGAATACGTGCGTCTTCTGGAGGTTTTGACTATTTAAAAGAATGGATATGGTGGGCTGGTCTGTTATCTAGTATGTATAAATTTGAAAAGATTTCAAGTATCTTAAGTTCTGTGTCATTTTTCTATGTTGTGTAAAAAAAAAATGATATTTGAAATGAATTTTATAGTGGGAATAGGAGAAACGGCAAATTTTATTGCATATGCATTTGCGCCTGCGTCACTTGTTACACCATTGGGTGCGTTGAGTGTTCTAGTATCAGCAGTATTAGCTTCCAAATATCTTAATGAAAAATTAAATCTATTGGGAAAGGTGAGAGATCCGCAGAAGGAAACATTAATGATTGTTTAATGTTTAGTGACATAATTTACAATATTTTAACATGCTGTAATTTGTCTTTTAGATTGGTTGCTTCTTATGCGTCTTAGGTTCCACCATAATAGTATTACATTCTCCCAAAGAGGAAACAGTTAGTAGCTTAAGTGAGCTAATTATCAAAATAAAACAACCAGGTTATATATCATATGTTTTAATTGTAATAATATGTGCCCTGTCGATTATATTTTATTTTGGTCCAATGTATGGCAAACAAAATATTTTAGTATATATATGTTTGTGTTCCTCTGTTGGTTCTTTAACTGTTATGAGTTGTAAAGGCCTAGGCTTGGCTTTAAAGGAAACTATCTCTGGTAAAGAGAATGCGTTTGTCATTTGGCTGACATGGGTCTTTATATTTAGCATTATTCTTTGCATCATGGTACAAATGAATTATCTGAACAAATCGCTTGACTTGTTTGACACATCTATCGTGACGCCAATTTATTACGTTTTTTTTACAACCTTGGTGATAATTGCATCCACGATCCTATTCAGAGAATGGGAAAAAATGAGTGTGGAGGATACTTTGGGTGCCTTTTGCGGTTTTCTCATAGTTATAATTGCTATATTCTTATTGAATGCATTTAGAGAAATAGATATATATTATGGTAATATTAAGCACATATTGAAACCTAAAAGGGAGATGCTTTCAAATTATCATTCAAGATGGGATGATCAAGAAAGGGTAACGAATAGATTAGAGTCTCAACATTTGCTAAATCATACTTATGTCAATTCAAATCTTACAAGAACTGTCTAAGATTATTTTTATAAAAATATGTATAATATAAACAAATTGCGTTTTAACATTTTGTTGTAATATTATTGTATATAAAGAATATGATATTGTATATAAATTATTATATGTAAGAAAAATTATATTATTTATCTTATTCTATATTATTGTACATGATAATTGTAAAAATTATATTATTTTTTTATCCTATATTATTGTATATGATAATTGTAAAGAAAAATTATATTATTTATTTTATCCTTCATATATACACGCACCCTCGCGCACGTCTGTACGCAATTGAATGTATATATTCTTTACATTATTTCCAAAAGCAATAAAGTACAATAATTAAGTATTATTATTTTAATTGTAAACAATTAATTATATTCTCTCTGTCTCTAAAATTAAAAAAAGAAACAAAATTATTAAACTTCAAAAATTTATACTTTTCAAGTAAGTTGATATATAAAGCCTGTTTACAGCACTATTTATAGAGATATGTAGCTAAGTATACATGAAAAATGAACAATATTTACATATGTAAATCAATATTTATCTAAATAATTAACCAATCATGATAGAATACAAAGCAGAAGTCGTTGCGTTTGTATTTTAAATTTCGTTCTACTTGTCAAGATTCGCGAGCGTCATCTGCTTTGTTCAATTTTCAATGAGCAACAAGGACGAGAGTATCACGAACATCAAGTGGAACGTATCTTCGATGGATATTAGACATATTAGATTCGTTGTTGGCTTTTGTCCGCATACATAATGACATTCAATTTAGCTGCCTTTTCATATATCGTAGCATTAATTGGTGACGCATTTTTAATATTTTTCGCGATATTTCACGTACGTGTTTTGTATGAAGTATTCACACGCAGTGATTTTACGGCGGTGAAAGTCATAAAAGGCATTTCTATAATAAATTATAGAATATAACCTTAACAATGATATTTATATATTCACGCATATATATATATTATTACTATGCGGAATAATGTATTTAATCTTTCAGGTAATCACATTCGATGAATTAAAGACTGGATATAAAAATCCGATTGATCAGTGTAATAATTTAAATCCGGTAAGAGACATGCATAATATATTTTTAATCTTTCACATTCGATGAATTAAAGACTGGATATAAAAATCCGATTGATCAGTGTAATAATTTAAATCCGGTAAGAGACATGCATACATGCATAAT